TCTAAAATCGCAAAACATCCTTGAGCCTGTTGGGATTGAACCTTCAAACATTGCAACTCAAAAGACACATGAATGGACAATTGGTACCAACATCTACATGTGACAAGATCGTAAAACACTGATAGAAACACAGTGTATTACCATTTTCCAACATGAAGCCTTTAGGCATATACTTTTACCTATCAGAATCATAGCAATGGAAACACCAATTACTTGAGGTTCTTGTGTTAAGGGCTCTACTAACATTGACAACACCTATTACTTGTGGTTCATATAACACTAATACTGGGAATGAAAATAAAATGTTGTTTGTTTGGATAGGTAGGTTTTACACTCAGCTCACCCAGGTTGGCAGGGAAAATTTTCATTTTCCCTTCCAATCTGAAGAGATTTGGCCTAATCACATCCAAAGATGCCCTAACGCAATACAGAAATGAAACCTAACAGGAGCACACAAACCTTGTTATCCTCAAAATGGACTCTCAGGATGCAAATGGCTATTCATGTAAAGCCTCAGAAGCAACTAGACTTCATTTAATGACACTCCCACCAACCACTGCTGCTTCTGACATACTGATCCACAATACCAAATTCTTTGTTCTGCTCAAGTCGCTTAGCATAATTCTCGGTAGATATCGGACCTTTCTTACGCCTGCGATAGTAAATGATTTCCCAAGGCCACAGGCGTGCAGCACCGAAGTACTTCTCCACAGATTGATCTGATGAATCTCCCTCTTGTGCCTCAATCCCATAGTGCTTCAGAGCTGAGATCACTTCATTAGTTGTTAGCTTCAAAGACTTGTTTCTCCCATTTTTGGCCAGAACGTCCTGCTTTGATTTCACTGACAAAGAGTCCTCAAAGTTAGCATTCTGGCTAAGCACTCTATTGGCAGCATTATCATCAACCAAGTTCTTATCGAAGTCAGTCCCTGTGTAACCAGTAACATTAGCATTCTTGTTACGAACAAGCGTTTCCCCATTCAGGACCTTGTTGTTCAAAACTGAACCATTCCCTTCTTGCTTGTTCTCATCCAGATTTTTTACTTCAGATCTTGTCCTGAACTCCAAATTGTCCTCCAATTGAGAATTCATCAGACCAACTAGATTTTTGTTCTCTACATCAGGAGATGACTTGTGCTGTGGTGAAGCAGATACTGAAAATGGAACAGGATGGTTGATATTTGATCTTGATCCTTCATGCTGAGTTGGTTGAGATGATTTTGAACTAGAATGTGCAGAATAAGTTGGGGAATGTGCTTTAAATCGAGGTCGGGATTGGGGGGGTTTAGATCTTGAATCTGAGGAAGTCCTGTTGGAATGAGATCTCTTAACATTAGCATGGATAGAGCGCCTTGAAGGTTCTGAAGAAGGCGATGACCCCCGTGACCTTTCAGATCTGCTTCTCTTGCGTCCCTCCTTGTTTGTTTGTGGCATGTTTTCACTGTAGTGGGCATGTCTCCTGCCGTCTCTCGGCCAATGCATTCGCATATTCCTCTCAGCAAATGGCTTCCTACCATCTTGAACTCTATGATTTGTTTGGTCCAATGGATGAATATGAAATTCTGGTCGCCTCCTCGAGGGTGACCCAAATCTTCTCTGCCTCAGCTGCCACTTTTCCCTAAAGTTCAATCCATCTCTCCTTGGTATGAAGTTATCATCTATTCCATGAGGGCAATTACGTGCAACATGGCCAGAAACACCACAACTGTAACATGTTGGAGGAGATCTTGATTTATCATGGCTTATGTCAACATGTTTGTCAGGGTGCTCTTTCCACTTCTCTGAAGAAAGTTTGTGTTCACGAGAATCATAAGAACTTGCTTTAATCACATTTTCTGTTTCTTCTTGCCTTTCATATCCATGATAAGGCTCATAGCGGTCAAAATCATCACCGTCTCCACCAGGGGTACCTTTCCCAGCCCATCTATCATGCTCAATTATATTTGCATCAGCTGTACCACCTTCGTCAGTCTTGACCTCCCCTGGACCTTCATCATTTGTACCACCTTCATCCCTCTTCACATCCCCTGGATCATCGCCAATGTTTTGTCCAGCATCATTGACAACCTCAGCAAATTTACCAGATTCCTTTTCTAGCCCAGCATCAGAATTATGACTCTGATCATGATTTGCGGGTTGATTATTCCGAGCTAGAGGATCCCTGAACTTAATATTGTCCCTAGCATCTCTGAAGTTCCTTCCGCGAGACAATTCAACAAATCTCGAACTTCTCCTGAAACCCTGAGAAAATCTGGGCTGCTGCTTTGACCAATTAACAGTAATGCGCTCCCCACAAACATATTTCCCATGCAGGGCCCTAATGGCTCGAGTTGCATCATCATCAGAATCATATACAGCAAACCCATATCCATCTTTCAGGTTCACAGTGCAACGACCAAACCTCTGGAACAGATGTTCAAGATAACTTTGCCGCACATCTTGGGAAAGCCGCCCAATATGCAATGACATCTATAACAGCAAAAATATTCCTTGAGAACTCTACTCAGAAATTCAAAATAATGCAATGAAAGAAAGTAAGATAGTAGCATTGCTAAATTCGTGATAACTACTCAAGCTGACAAGAGTATAACTTAATAACCATCCAAGGTACGTAACAAAACTGAACTCAATGTTGCCTAATTCTATTGCAAAACCAACACTAATAAGTTGATTAAACTTCACAGCATATTCCTTGTAGTAATTTCATGGATTCAAATGATTCATAAGTGAGTTAATGCTAATGAAGAGTGCCTACTTAACCCTCTTACTAGTACCAATGCAATCAGTAAAACTAGTCGTTCTAAGAAATCACAATCAGATAGCACAAATAAGCTTCAAGGTAAAACAGCAAGCAAAAAATGAATAAAGCAGTTATGATCAATTAAATTCAAGTTGATCATGAGCTGACCCAAGCTTGCATATATATATATATATATATATATATATATATATTGTTTACTGGAACATGCTTTCTCACAACTCTTACAGCACTGCTTCCAATCAAAACAAAAAATCACAAATCCTTGTGTATCCACGTCATCATAATTATATATGATGTATAAATCAACGGTATTGCTCAACCAGTACGCATTAGCTTTAACCACAATCATGGAACTAAGTTTCCCTAGGGTCGAGAATAATTTTGAATACTAACTGTTCAATATCCTGGATGGATGCTTTCTTCTTAATATAATGAAGTGCAGCTCTCCTGCGTTTTTCAAGAAAAAAAAAATCCTGGATGGATGGAAGGTATCGTCCTGATTTGTTCACAAGCACACCTATGGCCCTGTTCCCAGCACTAGTGCATAGTAAAATAAAGGCAAAGGAATATTTGTTTGATGCCTTTACAAATTACTAAGGTTCACCTTCTGTTGTTCTGCATAAGCCAAGTTGTAAACTGGAATCAATCGTGTTCAAGTTTTCCAAACACTAGTTCCATGAAAGAGAATAAATATTGAATCTGATGTGAAATGTGTGCATTCAAAAAACAAGATAGTACCATGATTCCCAGTTCCCCCCATTTGCTAGTACTGAGTACACCATTCTGACAGCTAAGCATAGATGATTTACTATCGCCAAGATAGCTCTGAAGCAGGTTGCATCAAAGCATTCATTACTGCAATTGCAGGCTGCAGCTACTAAGCAACAGAAGTTACAAAGCATATGGTCAAGTCAACTGCATCTCAGGATGTCAACCAAAAACCACACTTGAGTTAGCTGTCCTCTTAGGAGCCAAGAAAAGCAATGTGACAACTCCAAACAATGCATAAATTATCACCCAATTTCATTGCACAGTTTCATCTAATCTAATGTCTTAAACAATCAGCCTCACACAATTGGAACATAAAACACTAGTACAAGTTACAACAAAATACCAGATTTCAGATTTTGTATGGAAACCAACTTATGAAAGGGCACCTGCACAGCACTAGCAGAGCGCAAAACAGCGAATATTGCCAACCTACCGGACACTAAAGGTAATAGGTAATACACCAATGTTACATTACAAATTTCACAGCCTAGCAGAACATGCTAAGAGCAAGCCATCTCAAAGAAGCAGGTAGGCATCTAGCACAGGCATAGGTAGTACAACATATAGATGACACAACAGAACCTCAAGGTGAGAAACATATACCTTGTTTATGGTCACCAAGTGATTAAGTAACACTTGAACCTGCAAACAAATCAGGGGACAAGGTCAAGTGATGGTTAACTAGAAGTCAAATACAGAGTATGAAACCTCCGGGGCAGCAATCTAACTAGGGTTCCACCAAAAGTTTAAATCGCACAACTAGAAATTAGGGTTCTATCTAGGATCTAACACAGAAAGCAAAACTAAAGCTAGGTTACGATGGAAATGGAACAGCCCACACAAACGCCGACGATTCTCGCGGGGAGACTCAAAAAAAGGAAAAACGAAAACGCGCACCTTGCACCGCGTTCGGATCAAGATGGTGCGGGCATGAATCTAGTGCAGGATTCGGACGCGAATGTAGATGCGTGGAGCCTAGTTGCGGCCACTTACCCGGACTCGCGACGCTTCGCTTGGATCGGATTCAGATGCGAGAGCACGATTGGAGGATTGCTTCGGTGCTTCCGCTACAACAGCAGCAGTTGCTGGTCTCCTCTTCGAAGCGTCGAGCAGCCGGAATGGCGACGAGCCGAGGGGCACGAGGGGGTTTGGGTTCTGCCCCTGCACCTGGGCTGGATCGTCCGTCTGCTTAAAGAGAATTCTGGCCCAACTAAACCTTGATGGGCCAGAGGCACGGACATAAGCGTCGGCCGCGCCATGTGTTTAGTGGACCAAAATAACAGGACGGCCCCCCTGGAGATCTAGAGGATTCTGCTGGCAGCGTACTACCCCGTGTCTGATTTGTCCCAGCTCGTAACAGACCAGACGAGCAGACTCCTCACTCCACGCCACCCGGACCCGGCACTCAGCTCAAGAAAGCACAGCCACCAAGCTCTAGCGCCGGTTAGCTAGCAGAGGTAGCAGATAGATGATGCCTTCCACGGCTCGCGCTCTGGCCGCCGCGGCCCTCGTCGCGGCGGCGGCGGCGCTCGCGCTGAGCGTCGACGGCGTCGGCGCCACCCCGGAGACGACGTGCGCTGCGGCGGCGGCCCGCGACCGCCGCGTGGACTACGGCTTCTGCGTGTCGAGGCTGAGCCACCACCACGACAGCCCCGACGCGGACACCTGGGGCCTGGCCAAGGTGGCCGCCGACGTGGGCGTGGCCACCGCCGGGGACGCCGTCTACGACATCAAGGCCCTGCTGGCCACCAAGCCGCCGGGCGACGCCCAGGCGCGGGCGGTCCTGGAGCAGTGCCAGAGGCTGTACGACGCGGCGGAGTCGGCGTTCGCGGAGGCGTACGACGCGATCAACCGTCGCGACTACGCGGCGGGCAAGGGCAAGGCCGCCGAGGCGGCGTCCCTGGCGCGCCGGTGCGACGACGCCTTCGCGCGCGCCGCACTGCGCCCGCCGCCGCAGGTCGCGCGGTGGGGCGAGGAGTCCGCCAAGATCGCGGTCGTCTGCACGGCCATCACCGACCTCATCGACTGAGCCGAGCGATGGGTACCGTACCGGCCAGGCAGGTGATGCGCTGGCTTCTGCGTCGTCGCGATCCGCCGGCGTGTTGTGTGAACTTGTGATCCGTTGGTTACACGCCAGACAAAACGCGGACGAGATGGCAGTTGCCCGAACTTGTCGCCGTTGAAAAATGTAATGTGATGATGGAATAAAAGCGTTTTATTGCAGCGCTTGTACTGTTCAGTGTTCATCTCTTTTGGAAGCCTCGTAGTTCTGCTACTACTGCCACTTTTATTACACGTCTGTATAGTCTATACGCACGCCCCATCTCTTGGCTTGTTTGGATAAGGGACAAGTTTAATCCCTATCATATTGGACGTTTAGATGTTAATTAGGAGAACTGGTTGACATAAAAATATGATGATGTGATCAACATATGGTAAGCCGGAAGATCTTGACAGAGTGAACCCGAAGATCTGCTTAGCTTCAACACAAGAACGGTCGGTTTTGGGACCAAAGGCGTGCCAGTCAATTTGACCCTGCAATTGAGAATGAGAGAATAATCAGTAGTTTAAGATGGAACATATTGATATTGCACCAGACAGTTCCAATATGTGACCAAATAGCTGATTGATATGGCCATCGACTACAGAGTCGACATCCAGCAATAAAGCAATATAAGAAAACATCGTCGGCTAAATAAAACATGATCAATATAAAACGTTGAGCCGATAAGTTTGATGAAAAGAGTATAACACATGAACAATCGACTGTTTACCATAAATGAATCCATAAACAATATGAATCTAATCTATTATCATTAACAGTGAGGTTCGACCGAATCGATGCAGCTATGATAATAATAACAAACTAAAGCCAAAGAATCTATAAAACCATCTATATGTCAGCAGATTCATGAAAACATGCCATATGTGTGAGAGCATAAGCAATCGACTAAAATAATCGATGCAGGCATAGCAAACAAACAGAGTACATATCTCCATCATGAACAAAACCAATAATCGATAATTTCTAATCTAAAGTCTTATCAGTGAGGTTCGACCGGATCGATGCAGCTATGGTAGTGTCATTAGATTAGATCAGTGTCATTAGATTAGATCTCATTAACTAGTGAGTTTATTCAAGATTGAAATATGTCTTTAGATATATACTATGTTTGATTAGAATAGAGATAAAACAGCCGATCTAGCGGAATTAAGTCATCAATTATGAGATTTAAAGCGTGGCCAGATCAAAGGACGATCAATTAAGATGATATGGTGCCGATCTATCTCAATCTCAATCAGGTGATTTATTATAATTAATAAAACATTAATTATAACAAAATCGATAACTGGTGAATCAACCAAATACAACAAGAAAAATCTTACTAATCTTGACAGATTCAAAAATTGGTGATATTGTATTGAACAACAAGTTATTTAACACAAGATCAATAACTTTAATCTATATTATGATTCGTAAGAGATCAATCAGCTGATGCAGCCTTATAAACTACGATATAGATCGATAACTAACTTATATTAGCCCCGTTCGCTTCGCTGAAAAAACAAGCCAAAATATTGTTCCGGCTGATTTGTTGTGAGAGAAAAACATTGTTCCGGCTGAAAAAAGAAGCTGAAAAGTACGGATTATAAGATAAACGAACAGGGCCATTATGGCTCATAAAAGATCAATCAACCGATGCAGCTTTATAAGCACAATAAGTCGTGATGGTACTCACAAGCAAGCTGGAGGTCGATCAGTCGATGCAGTCCTGTTTGCTGAAGAACTCGCTAAAAAGCTACATTACTCATACTCCTAAGGGTTGACATGAAGCCGAAAAAGTAAAGACTAATTTTGATTGATAAGTGTAAGATGTCTATTATAATAGTCGGGATCCAACATTTATATCTTAGGCTGATAAGAGTCCTGAAGAGACTTTCCTAACCAGATATGCCTAAACTAAAGGAAAATATTAAAAATACAACGACTCTGCGTGCATGCATATTTGATTTCTTTTCGCCTGGCAACCACGTCTAAGTTAATTTGCTTCGTATCTTCGTCATGTCCGCCCAGCACTTTCCTAGTCCATCAACCAATCGTGTCTCCCTCGGACTCCTATTCTGAGAACCTGTCGTATCCTTCAATATATATATATATATATATATATATATACACATGCATGCGAGTCTTTTTAGCTTGTCGCACTTTCCCTTCATGCACGAGCTCCGCCAAAAGATTTCTCTTATTTCCTTGAGTAGCCCGGCTATAAGTATGCCACTTTCCAATGATAATAAAATCGGTGTGCTTCCCTTTTGAATATCAACGTGCTGCTTCTGGACCGATCCATATTGGAGATATCACGTATACCATCAGAACTAAGGCAAGTAGCATTGCACATACGGAGTCCGGCTGGCTTCTTTTAATTCACATGCACGAGCATCTCCAGCCAGCAAGTCTTGCGTGATGCATTTTGTGTGTCGCTCCTTGCCAAATATTAAATAAGCTTTCGTACTTGCAACGGTGATATATATGATTTTTTCAACTCAATATTTTCAAATCATCGGCTTCCTTCCATAGACTTCCATTGGTAATAAAATTATCAAATTTTGGTGTCAACACAGAACCCTCTAGTTTGGAGTATGAATTTTCATGTTTCGAACTATTTCGATCCGATGATCTTCCTTTCCCCGGTCGATGACATTTGATCGCAATCACTGAAAGCTGTATCGGCTCCATCTTCTTTTTGATCTTGATAACTTCAAAATTGATCTTTCTCTGCATGTCCATCCATCTGTTTTAGCCGATTAGGAGCTGCCCCCCAGTCTATAATTATAATCAGCTATGTAAAGGCAATAATCAAATCGATCGCACAAATATGAACTATCAGCTGGCAACAAACTCGATCATAGCAACACAAGTTAACCGGCAGTATGGAAATATGCTGCATAAAAGTTCAGGTATTCTAGCCGGTAGTCTTTTTCCCAAGGAGCCGAGGAATTTATTGGTAGCGATATTACCTTATTCCAAGCCTCACCTACACATGTGAATTTTGAAGTGTCTACCATACCATCTTGGGTGGTTGAGGAATAGAACGGATTAGAATCCAATCATCCTCGCTTTCCCTGCTCAGAAAACTTGGTTTTTGATAGATTTTCAAATTAAAACATAGCTTTACTCTTTAAATGATTCTCTCAGATCGCTCAATGTGTATAGTTCCTCATCAAAGCATTGTTTTGTCTCTTCTCATCCTACTTCTAAAAAGTTTATGTGGAGTTTTAGGTAGGGATAAATATATAGCGTACTTACCTTGCATATATTGTAAAGTCAAATCTCGGATCTAAGGAGAGAAATGCCATAATCTTAGATCAAGATGTACATGTGCGTGAAATATTTGGTGCCTAACCTAATTCTACTATGATCTTTGAAATATATTTCTCTCTTATGGAATATTTTTTGCAAGAACATGGGCTATCTTTTTCTCATCTTTTCCTTTTTTTATTTCTTTTGGACTTCTTTTGTATCCATTTTTTATATATTTTTGCATAACCCATGTCTCTTTTTACAACAAATTTTTGAGAGGAACATTATCAAGAACTTGTAACATTTATTCTGATAAAACCTAACAAACATATTTTTGTCTTCTCCCTGTGTAGGAGTAGAACATTTTGAGGTGGATGAAAAACATGTTTTTGTGTACTTCCAGTATAGAAGAAGCACATATATGTGGCATGTATGTGATCTTGATCTTGGGAGCATGATAAATCTCTCAACAAGGGTCAACAAGACTTGACAAAACTCAACACAGAGCAAGTAGCTTATGTGGAAGGTTTTTAATGAGACTAATATATGGCTCTAGTAGGAAATTCAACATCATTGAGGAGATAAGCTATTGATTTTGAATTTTTGTAAAAAAATTTCCCAAGTACTTTGAAAAAAGAAGCAAGGTTTCTTTCATCATACCATATCTCATTCATCAACTACTTAGATAGCATGCTTTCCCTATGATAGATTGTTCACAAGTGATAGGAAAAGTAAGAAATAAAGAATATGCGTACCTCCGCTTTGAACCGATGAATGCCTTTGCTCGGACTTTCTCCCAGTATGCATATATCAGCTAGACTTCGTCAGCCTTATGATCTCTGCGTTCCCAATCAAAACATATGATATGGTATGACCGCACATACTTCCAAGATTTAATTCATCCTTTTTGTGCCCACGTACATCGTGTATATATATGCATGGAAATCTGACTTGCATGCACTACATAAAGGGCTCTATCGGCTTGATGTCTTGATGTTTCAATTCTGAGCCGATTACGAGCAATCTTTCATTTACTGCTTCTGACTTTTAATAAGGCAATTATCAGTTTTAGAAGTCCCATAATCAGATCAAATTGAGAACACAGAGAGAGCACTGCGAAAATTTCGCTTGTCGAAGCCACAAACTACAACAAATGTCAGGGCTGGCCAAGAGGCTTTTTGCGTTGGCCGCTAAGCGCGTTGTAGGTGCATCATGGTAGTGCAGACGCCTTTGTTGCCGTTGGACATGTCCTCACCAAGCACGAGCTTAGAGACCCTATCTTCCGCCAGCTCCTATCTTGTCGCTAGTGGAGCGGCGGTCGATCATGTCAGCACGGGGCTTCATGCTGAGCCGTCTGAAGGGTGCGGCGGTAAATGCCGAGGATCGGCCGATGAGCTTGGGCACTGTGGCGGTCGGCTTGAATAGTCTACTGATGTTGACGCTGTTGCACTGCTCCGAGAAGGACATGGATGCATCGGACATGGCGCAGTTGAGGTCACTCGCCATATCAATGAGACTCCATGTGGACAACAATGAGCAGCATTTGTCGTGTTATGGCCCAGACTCTTCCACGTCCTTTGCTCATCCATCGGCTATGCCTCCACGAGAGAATATAGTTGATGTAGAGGAGGAGGTCCATAGCCTTGTTTGCCAGCATCACTTCCTTGTCATCGCCGTCGGCCACGAGTTCCTTGACCTTGCCCCATGGTAGCTTGTCGTGGCTGCCA